CGGTATCTCCGTCCCGTCGTGTCGTGTCGTGTGCGGGTTGGTGTCTATTATTTTTATTTTTATTTAATTTATTTAATTTATTTATTTATTTCAGGAGTGTTTCACCCTAACTGTGGGTGCGTTCGTGCGCCAGGTCTGTTTATTCGCCTCTTCCTCATGCGGTACTACAAGTACTCGGTCAACAAGTTCGAGCGAATAAGCAACTTCAAGAACTGCGAGATGGTGGTCATGGAGATGAAGGACTCCTGCTACTGTCTCACCACCCCACTTTCCTTCGACGTACGCCACGCCACACCCCTTCCACACCACTGCCTGTTTTTTCCAATTCACGCATCCTTTTCTTTTGTGTGTGACAGGATGGCACGGACGCGGACGACGACGATCTGGCGGCATCCGCCCTTCACGCGGGGACGGAGGACACTGACGACCAGCTGAGCCAGGCAGTGGGCCAGCAGTGACAGCTCGAGGCGCACCAGATATGTAAATTTGATGAACTTTATTTGGTACATTGTTTGATCGTTGGGCACAAATGTTGACCACAAATGTTGACCTGACGTGGAGCAGGACTGGGGCGCCATGGCGCAGTCGGCACCGCGCTCCCCTAGTAAGGGAGAGATCATGGGTTCGATTCCCATTGGCGCCATCCTACTCTTTTTGCTCCCACCCTTGATGAACCTTGCTCCATCTTCAACCTTGCTCCCTCAGCCCTCCCATCCTACGCTTTTTTGCCAATCTTATCTATTTATTAAAACACGTGTCTCATTACTGGCACTGAGTGTACAACCTTCTTCACCCTGGGGCTTTCCCACATAGGTCTCGCAAGGTCTCCCATCTAAATTGGTTGGCGCCAACAAGTCATTACCCCAACTTCCATTTAGTGACCAGAAGTGCAACATCAGCACAGACAAAGTCAAGAATCTGTTCTCCATGCTCTGCTACCAGCCCTACCATCCTGCCACAACCCTGCCCTCTGCCTCCACGTCCCCACCAATGGTTCACTTCTTTCTTTGCATGTGTCTTCGTCAACCACTTCACCCAGTTCAACGCCAACCAGTACGAGCACCACCACGGCAACATCAGCGCCCACGACGCCGGTCAGCGGCCCGGGCAAGCGGCGACCAGTGCAAGTACAGCCAATGGTAAACTTCCCTTCTGACACCGTTCTGTCGTGTGTGTCGTGTGACAGCAGCTAGTGGCAGGGGACGCGGTGAAGAGGAATGCTTGCACGAGGCGGACACAAGGACGTTGGTTGGGAGTCACCTTTTTACCACATAAAGGAATTTAGGCGGATAAAATGTGCCGATTTGCGAACCTTTTTTCTCCTTTCCAAATTTGGTCCGCGTCCATCAGTTAAGGTCACAGCATTGCCTTTTTGCGCCGTTTACCTAGGCAAGAGAGAGAACAGACGTGTTCTCTTCTCTCCCACCCACAGCAAGAGAAGGACAATCAAGAAGGCGATGATGCTCGGGGAAGAAGCGAATATGCCGCCCGTTCGTTGCCTCCAACCACAGCAGCAGGCGACCACGGGGACCACCAACCCAACCAACCTCTTCTTCACCCACCCAGTCCACCTACCCGGTGAGGTATACTGGAAAACGCCCCTAAATAAATAGACGTACAAATAAATGGAAAAATACAACTCACTAAATAAATGATGTGAGAATGAATTTTCATCAACCTTTCTGAACGTAATTGTTTACGGCCGGCGCCCAGTTGGCGGAGCAGGTGTTGAGCTACGTGGGACCCAAGGAGCTGGTGGCCGCCGGCGGCGCGTGCCGCCTCTGGTATGACGTCACCTCGCGAGACAAACTGTACGCGCATGTGTGTGCGGTCGTGAGTGTGTGCGTGTGCGTGTCGTTTGTGTGCGACGCCAACCCTCTCAACCGCCAATGCTGAGAGTACAGATGGCAGCCGTTTATGGCCCAGGCGAGCTCCGGGCGCACCGAGAAGCACTCGTACAAGGAGCTGTTCCTCGAGCTGCTCCGGGAGAAGAAGCGCTGCGCCATTCGCCACCAGTACGCCACCGATGAGGTTTCGGACTGGTACCTTGCCACGCACCGCACACGCACCGCACCGCACTCACTCGGTGTGTGCAGCTGCGATGGTGCGTTCAGTGTGCAGCCTGGAGACAGTACGCCGGCGGAGAGCAGGCTCAATGTCGAGCCTGTCTTCCACCCCAGCCCCGCCTGGCCGGTACCCGCCACACGCCACACGCCGCACGCCGCACGCCGCACGCCGCACGCCGCACGCACGCACACAAGGTGTGCTCACCGGATAAGATCAGGTGCACCCGAACGCATCGAACGCGCTCACCGTGGACCTGGGCTTCGATGTCGACAAGTCGGCCAGGGCGCTGGGCCGCTTCCTCCGCAACTGCACCGGGGGCTGCTTCCAGGACCCCGGTACCGATCCCGTTCCCCTCTTTCGCCCAACCAGCGCCTTGACCGTCTGCTCACTGCACGACACCCAACACGACACAGAGTTTCTGAGGTGGGCGCTGTGGCGGTATTCGCGGTTCATGCAGCTCAAGGCCGACCACGCCGACCGGTTCCTGGTGCCCACCACCGAGATCGAACACATCTGGCAGAGCCACCTGCTCAGGTACTACCCCTCCCCATATCCCCTCCTCCGGCTCCCGCCAACCAACCGAACTTGCGTGCGTGCGTGCGTGCGTGCGTGGACGTGTTGCTGCTTGTGCGCGTGTGTGTCAGGCCGGACGTCTATGCGCGCGACATGCAGCAGGTGCTGGGCATGCCGGAGGTGATCGACCACCGCATCTTGTGCACCGACGTCGACCAGCTCGTGTTCGAAGAGGCCCTGCGCGAGACGGCCGACCTGTGGCAGCGCACCTTCGGTTCGTCCACCTTCCCCGTGCGTGTGCGTGTGTGCGTGTGCGTGTGCGGTGGTGCGTGTGTGCGCCACTGTGTGTCGTGTGGTCGTGCCCTTACCGCGCTCGCCGCAAGCGCGGTTCGGTCGTACAGGCGAGGAATACTGCACGATTCCTGCCACACCGGTGATCAGGCTGCTGCGGGAGGGCTACAAGAACCTCTGGTAGCACACCGACACGACACACACCGACACACACGACACGGCACGCACGGCACGGCACGCAAGGCCGCACTGCACACACCGACGCACACGGCACACACGCACGGCGCACATGATTGTTGTTCACACAGCGCTCTGTGCTGCAGGTTTGAGCCGCAACAATTTAATGTTGTGGTGGCTCCCGCCGACTGGACCTGCCCGTTCAGGTGAGCCCAGCTACGCCACGGTGGTCCATTTTATTGCCCCCCCCCCGGCTGACCCGCACTTACCGCACACGCGCACCGCACACACACACGCGCACCGCACACACCCATGTAGCTTGAGCGTGGAGGACGTGGCCAAGGACGACGAGTGGGACGGCCACTTCGGCCAGGAGAACGGCACGTACTACGGGTTCCACCCGCCGGGCGGCTGGTACCGCCTGGCTACCAAGGCCTACGAGCGCTTCCTCTACTTTTGCCACATCTACGACGGCGACGAGGTGGCGCACCCGACCTCGGCCATCCAGTTCGTGTGGCACCTCCACATGTTCCACCCCATCCTCTATCGGTGCGTGTGTCGTGTCGTGTCGTGTCGTATCGTGTCGTGTCGTGTCGTGTCGTGTCGTGTCGTGTCGTGTCGTGAGGCTGAGAAGGATGACGCGGCGCAGGGAGGGCACGAAGAGGCTGACTGGCCGCGTGCTGGAGCACATCCCGTGGCCCCACGAGCACTACAGAGAGGCCAACTTCACCCGGATCAACCATGTGTGGCAGCGCGAGTTCGGCATCGACATTCAGGAGGTGCGTCCGTGTGGTGTGCGTGTGCGTGTGCGTGTGCGTGTGGGTGGGTGTGCGTGTGGGTGTGGGTGGGTGTGCGTGTGAGTGTGCGTGTGCGCGTTTCGTGGGATCGCTCACACGCACACGCAACGCATCAGGAAATGGATGACGTTGAGATCGGGGATGACGACGTCTGATGCCATCGATCGTGGGTCACATATATATTTATATTTATATATAAATTCAACTACTGGTAGGATATTCATCATATCTGGAGAATATATCTGAACTCCCCACTTACCACAAGGAAATAACTTTTGCATCCATCCAAGAAAGGATAGATGCAAAAAGAAGAATAAAAACAAAATGCAAGTGAAGGATCAAGAAGAACACACGTAGCTTGAGCGTGGAGGACCTGGTCCAGGAAAGCATCTGGTACGGCCGCGTCGTCAAGGAGAACGGCTCGCACTACCGCCGGCGGGCTCCACTCATCGTCTCAGTTTTGGCGGAATATTTAAAATCCGTTTTTTCCCCCTGTGTGTCAGAGAAATCAAGAAATTCAAGCATATTTAACAGATTATATTTGAAAAATTCAAAGATAATTATTAAGAAAAGGGATTGCAAAAGAAATCAGATCTTCTGGCCCCGGCCAGTTCAAATGCCCTATGGGCGTGGCGGTGGAGGCACAGGCCACATCCTCATGGCCAACACCAACAACCATCAGGTGGTGGTGGTGCACGCCAATGATGGGTCCTTCGTGCGCTCCTTCAGTTCCCAGGGTTCTGCCACAAAAATAAAAGTGTGCCTCAAACCGCATCAATAAGCAAAGTCATCAGCAACTCACTCTTCAGTAGCATCAAAGCTGAGCTCTCATGGCAGTATGCACTCTCTTGATGGCTGATTTCCACTCTGCTCTGCTAGCACTTTTGCACACCACGTGCACATGCACATGCACACATAGGGCCCCTGCAAGAAGAACAGTGAGTGGGTCACCACTGAGATGCCAGTGGGTGGAGCTTGATGAAGGTCAACAGAGGATGTGATAGGGTGGTGATCAAGAAGCTGCTCAGCGCATCCATGGTGAGATGGGACAATAGCTGTCTCAAGGTCACTAAGCCACTGCTCTCTTTCATGTCCATCTACCTAGGATGAGAATTGAAGAGCTTTTAAAGGGGGTGAACATCACCACTATGGACCAGAACCTGTGGCAAAATGAACAGAGAACAGGACATCACAGCATACTCCTCCTTTTAAAGCTCCCACAAGTTCCTGGCATACCTCAAACCAAGTGTTCACAAAAAAGGATCAGTGACACCCTCCAGATGGGTGTCATCAGTACACTTTGACCAGTTCAATGCACAAACATTGCTGGCAAAATTGCGATCCAACTTGTGTTGGATGGGAAATGTGTACATAAAAAGGGATTCTGCCTGTGGCATTCCTTCCTCAATAACATCCTCCACTTCTGTACATTTTCTGAAAATGATGCCCAAGCTTTCCTTGATCTGTACACCAACCTCATAAAAACAGCCAAATGGTGGCCTTTTTTGTTCAGATAGTTGATTTTTGTGCTAAGCAAAAAAGTCACTGACCCTTTTTCATGAACACTTCTCAGCATATATCATTCCTCCAACATCAGCATACAGAGACCCCACCTATCTGAATAAAAAGATAGAAATATGCTTTTATGGAGAATGAAATCTGAGGAGGCCTCTCCTCATCTCCAAGAAGCTCCTTCATCATGCTGATTGTCCTGAACTGTGTATGACCTCAAATGTCAGCATTGCTGCATGACACATGCACATGCACACACATTGACCTCAATCACAGACATTTCTTAATCAAATCAGATCTCAGATTAGATCAATTAGCATGCAACAATGGGCCACACCTGCAGGTCGCCCCTCTCTGCAGCAGTGGCCCACTTTTGCATGTGCTGGAGGAGGAAGAAGAAGAAGGTGAGCACTATCTTGCCAATGGGACCAAAGAAGCTGCTTCAAGTACTGGCATTGTTGGACATTCACCGTCTCCATCTTTTCTCTACACTTTCTTGATCCTTTCTCTTTTCTTTCTTCTTATTCATTTCCATAGTTTACTATACTTGTACTGCTTCAGATCTCCTGAATATATACCTCTTCTCTTCTCAGACATCTACACATCTCCATGGCTTCTCAGCCTTATATCACACTACACCTTCCAACAGGCATTGCCTGTTTCAATCTGGGGAGTGGGGTTCTGGGGATGGCTGGCAGAACACCTCTCTGCCATGATAGCAGTTGCTGCCACCTCTGCTGTACTGATCACCACCACCCCCACTGTATCAGCCACCTTCCACAGACACATGAGTGTGGTGCCATGCTCTGTGCAACAACACTGCTGAAGCAGCCATGAGTGAGGTGCAGTACACTTTCACCTGGCAAGGCAAGGCCCCAGTGGAAGAGGAGGGCACCAAGACAAGGACATCCTGCTTATTGGCCTTTTGGTTGGTGTTGTTGCACATCTCCTTTGCTGACAGATGCTGGTCTTCATACTAGTCATCCTAGAGCCAGATTGGTCCCAGGAAACAGATCTGCTCTGCAAGGTGCTTGCAGGTTTCAAAGTTGGGCATGTTGAACATGTTGAGCGTCTTCCCCTTGATTGTCATGTTGCTCTTGGTGGTCCCTCAACTTCACCTCCGACGCCGCAGCGACGCAGGGCATCACGCTGCGGTACCGACTCTCCGATCTCTCCAACGCCAGCGCCACGGGCTCGCCGGGCCAGCTGGCCGTGGTGCGGCGCGCGGACAACACGCCGCGGGCCAACATGACCTCGTACTACCTCGCCGTGCCGTCAGCCGCCACGTCATCATCATCGTCCACTTCACGTGTGGTGGTGATGGTGGTGGAGGTGTTCGACGTGGCGCTCGTGGATGACGCGGCTTTCGTGCCCATTGTGCACGCCGTCGACGTGGCGAGCGACAGCGACGGCGACCACTACGAGCTAGTGCTGGCCCTCCCGGCCTTCAACCGATCGCTGTTCTACGACCCGAGCATCGGGCTGGGCGTGCTGCTGGGCTCTTCGGGCGGACGCGATGGCGGCGGCGGCAGCGGCGGTGACGACGTGGGCCTCATCGTGGGCGTGGTGGTGGCCGTCGGCGTGGCGGCGGTGGTCGTGGTGGCCGTGATCGTGGCTGGTGTTGCCCTCGCCGTGTGGCGCAAGCGGCGCCACTTGCACTCGGGCGTGGTCCACTTTGACAACCAGGCCGATGAAAGTAGGTTGTGAACAGAGAATGAGTTTTCTTTCGTTTTATTTGTCGAGATCGATTGGAAGGGCGATAATCGTCACAAAGAAAAAGAAGAACGAAGAAGTTCTTGGCCAGATTAGATGCGGCACTGGGTTTGGATGCATTTTCTGCGAACACAAAGAGGCGCGAGTGCACAAAAAGCCAGGGCTCTGTGTTGGATTATTTGCATTTATTTGGCCAGTGACAATTTGTTGTGTCAGGTTCAGGAGCAACCAAGCGGCTGAGGGCGGTTACTGCTTGGCCTTGCCTGTCGTGAGCGCGGCGTCCTCCTCTTCCTTCTTCTTCAAGATCACGAACCCTTCCATGATGGGCGTCACCGACACGTCTGGAAACGCACGCAAGCCACACGTGAGCTGACAACCCAAGACCAAGACCAAGATGGGAAAAAGACGTACAGTCGTCGGTGGCGAGCTCTGCCCGCTCGCCGTGGCCGATGAGGACGGGAGTCGTGTGGGTCTGCGAGCCGGTGATGGTCTTGGGGTGGCCGGCCTGGCCGACGACGTCGACGGCCGTACCCACGCGCACGGGCACTTGGAGGGGCTTGAGGTTCTCGTCGAACGTCATCAGCATGCGCGGGTAGATCGCGCTCACCAGCGTGTACAGCAGGTAGTGCGACTTGCCCATGATGACTGAGTTGGTATGTGCGGCGTCAGCACCGGTCAACACGACACACACGACACACACGACGTGCGGGGTTTGGAGTCGTACGGTTCTTCATGTCGAGGCAGGCGTGCATGGTGGCGAGGAGACTGGCAAAGGCCACACGGTGCATGCCCTCGGAGGGGAAGGGCGCCAGAGCGAGGGTGCCCTTGCCCACGTGCAGCAAGCCCTGCGCAAGTCTGACCACGAAGAGGAGGTTGGGCTCCTTGTAGTAGTAGGCCGACAGACTCCGCAGCAGCTTGGCCGCACGCGAGTTGTTGGTGCCGGCGGCGATCAGGCCCAGACCGAAAATGGCGCCCTGCGATACCTCGGGGTCGGCGTCGTGCGTGAGCTGCACAAAGAAAAGAAAGAAGAAAAGTTAGTTTGTGCGTGTGCGCACGACACGCGCGATAGAAGCGACACCTTGGAGGGTGTCCATGACGGACACGGAGGGGTCGCCGACGGCGAGGAGGCCGAGCGCCAGCGGGAATGGCTCGGCGGACGACGGGCTCGCCGTACTGGAGCAGGTCGAAGGTGCGCACGGCCATTGACCGGCCGAGGTCCTCGCCCATGGCGATCATGGCGATGCCCAGCACGGCGACGGCCTGGTGGCTGTTGTCCTTCTCGAGGTGCTCGCCGCACACGGACAGCAGGCTCTGCACCTTGAGCACGTTGGCGGTACCGGCGTAGGCGCAGGCGTCGACCGTGAGGTAGGCATACCGGCCAGCCTCGCCCTCGATGGCCTTCAGCGTGGCCAGCGTGACGTCAGCATCCTCTTGCTTGGCTGCAGACACACAAAAAAAAAAGAAATGAGTCCGCGGCTCAAGCAATAGAAATAGAAAATGAAAATTCAGAAAGTGTGGAGGAGCGTGTACTGAGGAAGAGCAGGCCGAGGCCGAGCGAGAGGAATCTGGCGTGGGTGGACTTGAGTCGGGTCTCGTCGCTCTCCATGAGCACGCCGAGCATGTTCTGGGCGATGTCGGCCTGGGCCGTGCCGACGAAGATCATGCCGAGGGCGAGGGCGGCGATGCCGACCACCTCCATGGAGGCCGACGAGTCCTCGAGCGCGGGGGTGATGAGCTCCATCATGTCCTCCCGGGCCGAGCCGGCGTAGGCGATGCCCAGACCCAGGATGGCGCCGATGCGCATGAGCGCGTTCGAGTCGCTGATGTAGTCCGACAGCAGGGCCAGCGCCGGGTCGCAGTCGTTCCGCACGCCCGAATTTACAATACCCACAGCGAGCAGGGCACCGGCCTTGATGTAGTCCTCCTTGGAGTAGAGGTACTTGTCGATCTGCGTGAGTCCACCGTCGACGTCCCACAGCAGGATCATGCCCAGCGACGCGGCCGCGCTCATCATGCCGTGCTCCCTGTTCTTGTAGATCCACTTGGTCTCTGCAAGAGTGAGCGTGAGTGAAAGCAGAATGTGTGTGTTGTGTGTGTTGTGGTGCACTGAGCCGGTACCCTCATCGGTCATCAGCTTGTCCTGGCCAAAGGCCGCGTTGACAAAGGCGTTGACGAACGTAGAGGCGAGGTTGTTCCTGGCCGAATCGACGTTGGCGCCAAAGGTGTTCCTGTTGTCGGTGGTGCTGGTCTTGTAGATGTCCTCGGGCGTCTTGGCCTCCATCACGTCTGCAGACATGACATCATGACCAAAGTAAGGCACGTTGCTTAAAGTGTCATGACAACAGCAGAAAGGCTTACCGAGGTCGCGAGCGAGAACGAGGAAGTGCTCGCTCAAGTTGGTGTGGTAGATGATCTCCGTGAGGCTCTCATCGGACTCGTCGATGGTGTGGAAGAGGTTCTGGCGGGCGAGAATGAACGCCAGCTGCTTCTTGACAGTGCTGTTTAGAATAGTTAGAAACGTGAAAAAGGCGAGAGTGGCAAGGAATTCATCAAAAGAACGGGGTCGCGAGTCGTACGCGTCGGGGCAAGACTCGTAGATGGCGCGGATCTCGTTCACGTCGTTGAGGCGGATGGCCATGTGAAGAGCGGCCGGGTGGCGGTTGAGCTTCTTGTAGATCTCGAGCGTCACGCGGAGGACGTGGGTGTCCTCGGGCTCGGGCACGTAGTCGGCGCAGCTCTTGAGGTAGAGGCACACGCGCTCGAGGTTGCCGTCGTCGACGTGGTCGATCACCTTGTTCAGCTTATCGACCTCCATCAGCAGATCGATGGCCTCGTGCTCGGCGTTGTGGTGCATGTTGAAGGGCACGATGATGTCGACCAGCTCCAGTATGTCGTCGGCCGGCGTTCCCTCCTCGCTCCTCTTCTGAAACTCCTGGCCCACCTCTCCCGCCAGATTGCTGTGTGCGTGGCAACAGTCAGCCACCAGTCGAGACTACGACGCAGCGACAAGATGAGGCAAGCAGGTGTGTTGTACCGCACGTATTCGTGACCCCACGAGCCGATGTCGCCCGAGTTGCCCTTGAGTTTGTAGTGCAGGCTCTCCCTGGTGCCCTCAGCTGCCATTGTCATGGCAAGGATCGAGACGACGTCGGCCAGCGATTTCTGAGTAGACGAGAAATGCAAAGGCAGCGCTCGATCAGCAAATCGTTGCGGCAGAAATGCGTGTAGAATTTAAGCAATGAATTGGAAAATGGAATGCAAGATCGAGCAGGCTGCACCAAGGCACTAAAGAGAGAAAGGCGCACCTTGTTATCACCCTCGGGGAGCTTTTCATAGACGCTCTTGAGAAGATCGTAGTGGGGACGAAGAAACTTGAGGGGCTTGGGCACAGCGGTCATCGACGAGGTGGCAGACTTGATCTCGGTCTTGAGAGTCTCGAGTGCCACTCGCGCGATGCCCTCATCAGCGTCCTGTGTGCGTGTAACGAGCAGCTCCAGCTCCTCCTTCTTCTGGATGTCTTCTTCAGACTGTGATCCATCAAGATGGTGTAAATGTCAGTGTTTCATCGATTTATACCAGATGGCAGCGTGATGCTTATCGATGATCAAGACTGTCCGTACCATCTCTTCCTCTTCCTTCTTCTTCTTGGCATTTTTGTCCTTGCCCTTCTGCTGATCCTTGTCAGCGGGCTGCTGCTCCTGCGTCGTGTCCTTCTTCTCTGTGTCCATGCTTGCTTGACTACGCAAATAACAACCTCTCTACTTCTACTAATCTCTCTCGTGCGTGTTGAATGTGCGCGCAGTGCAATCTAATCAATCGAATGGGGTTCGCGCGTGCAGATCGCCGAGGGTCCCACACACTGCTGCGTTTGCTGTGCCCACACCTCACCCAGCGCTGGCAAAAGTATGTCGACACATTTTGGCGACCGCGACATTCCTCCGTCAGGAGCCCGCTTTGTCGACACATATTTCGTACAGGCGAGAAAGACAAGAAGACAAGCAACAACTTGGGGAGAAACGATTGGCGCGGCTTTGATCTGTTTTCGATCTTTTGTCCGCCCGCCGTTCTAGGAAGAAGGCGCAAGACACAAGGCGCAGACGGCAATTGAAGGCGAGCACAGTGCAGAGCGCAAGTAGGAAGAGGAAGATGGCCTACTACGCCAACATCGCGGTGCGATCGATAAGCCGCCCCGTCGGCGAGGAGGACGAAGGAGACGTCTACTTCCCCACCGTCCACGTCAAGGCCCAGCACATCATCAATCCAGGTCCCTCCCCCTCCCATCTTCCTTCTTTCTTCTCCTTCTTCTTGGTCTCATCCATCCATCTATCGCCGATACGAACCGCCACCCCGGGTGCAGAAGAAGACGCCGAAACGGCGGCGCCAGAGAACGAGCCGAAGCGAAAGAGGGGCACCGTAGACTACTGCTACGCGCTCTTCGACGGCCTGCCGCCTTCGTCCCCCTCCCCCTCCCCGCACGAGTCCGAGCCACAAGCCGCCAGCAGCTCGCCACCTGTACGCACTCCCTTGTGACGTGTTTTTTTTTTTTTTTGGTGATTGTTTTATCTTGTTGCCGGGTGTGGAATATGTTCTGGGGCTAACATAGTATCGCGAATGTGTTTACATTTTATTTTATTTTATTTATTATATTTTTTGTGGTCCAGCACAAGATATACTCGACGTATGCCGAGTTGTCGGGTGAGAGTGCGCCTGTGGGCACGGACAGCTATGAGGTCAGCGACGACGACGAAGATGATGAAGACGACGAAGACAGAGACGACGGCTACTACGTGCCGAACACGTCGGGCATGGTGCACGACGACCAGCCAGCGGGCTACGTAGCCGCGCCCTACAGTCCGTCGCTACGCGGGCGCCTCAATCCCGAGAACCACGACGACTACGACGACGACGCCGAGTCCAACGCCTACACCAAGGACCAGGCCTACACCAAGGCCGAGCCATCATCGAAGACGACGGCCGACGGCGACATGGAGTGGACGGTGCTCGAACCGGCGCAGCAGAAGCAGCAGCCCGGCGGCTACGACGACCCCGAGGTCTACCGCATCTTGGCCCAGGTCGACGCCGAGCGCGTGAAGGCCGCCGTGCGCAACTACGCCGAGTCCCTCGGCTCGCAGGAGGGCGAGGCCCTGCTCCGCCACATCCTCGCCCACGTCAAGGCCATCGACCTCGCCGCCGACGCCGATGTCGACACCGTCGCTGGCAGCGGCGTCGACAGTGCCCAGAAGAAGGCTGTCGCGGCGCGACCGAAGATCTCCATCGGCGGCGGCGGCGTCTACGCGGGCGCGCACGAGCTGCCCGAGCTGGCCAAGCTGCCCCTCTCCTACGGCAGCAAGGTCTTCAACGCCCCGGCGCAGCCCAAGGCCCAGGCCCGGCCCCAGTACGTGTCGCTGTCGGGCCAGGGCGCCAAGTGCGTGAGCTCGAACCCGCTCACCAGGCCGGGCGGCGCCGGGCTGCGCGGCTCGGGCGAGTGCCCGGTGGGCGACATCGGGCGGCGCGACAAGGCCAGCCTGGTGTCGCAGGCGGCGCCGGTGGTGGAGAAGAACACCAAGTGGAACGAGAGCTACCAGGACCTGCTCGCGGGCGGGCTCCAGGCCATGCCGCTGGCCTCGGTCAAGAAGCTGCTGCGGCTGGCCAACGACTTCGTCTACACGTGCCTGACCTACACGAAGGTCATCGTCAACGAGCTCAACATGCCCAACGACCGCAAGACCATCAAGCCCGCGACCGACATCGGCGGCCTCGCCGGCGGCGAGAAGTATGTCATTCAAGGTACAGTCACATTTTTCGTTTATTTATGTATTCATTAGTTTTGCATTTTTGCTGATTGACGTGCGTTACATTCCACTGCTGCAGGCATTCTGTTCAAGTTCTGTCTGGATCCGCAGGTGTCGACCAAGGGCAAGGGCGTGTGGCTCTACGGCGGCAACCGGCCGTCGGAGGAGAAGGCCGCCAAGGCCGCCGCACTCGAACTGCAGGGCCTGAGCCTGCTCTCGTCTCTCTTCCTTCCTGGGATTCACATTCCGCTCATGGCGCTGGTACGCCACGCATGCACCATCGCACGCACACGCACGCACCATCGCACGTGACTCGTTAACAAGGGGGTTGTTGTGGGCACAGATCGACTTCAAGGGCTTCCGCATACTTGCCACATCCCTGCTGCCTCTTGGACCCGACACCATAGTTTACGGCTCCCACGATGCCGGCAAAACCGTTCACGCCTCCGACCCCGTATTCAACAAGTACTCCTCCTTCAAACCACGCACACACACGCGACCACACACACGCGCGACCACACACACATACACGACCACCACTAACATAAATGTATATTACCTACATTATACCAGAATGATGGACGAGATTGGGGTGATGCTCAACCTGAAGAAGCACACGGTGGGCAAGAAGAAGGTGCCCATCGTGGGTCCCGGCGACATCGAGGGGCACAAGGCACTCGACGGCCGCTACTACCTCCTCGACTACGCGCGCCTCATGCCCAGCCAGGCCCCCATTCCCTCGTAACCTCCAACCTCCACACCACCACTCACCACCACTCGATGCCATCTCCATGCGGCGGTGTGTGGGCTGGGGGCCTTACGTTACCTTTGTCTCGATGGCGCGGTCTGCAGAGAGGACGGGAAGTGGGACGGCCGCGGCGTGTTCTATCAGATGCTGCGACCAGAGTTCGTGCGGAGCTACTCGACCCCGCTCTCCTCTGACGTGTTCACCGGATGGTCCATGGTACGACCGAAGCCTTTTTCCATCATTTTTTACTAATAATTCAACTACTATTTTGGTTGTTGTGATACTAATTACTAATTTGTATATTCTCTTATATAAATACACACACACGACACACACGACACACGACACACAGTATGATACGGAACGGGAGAAGAGCGAACGGGAGGTGATTGCGGCTACGCAGGTGATGATCAACGAGCGCATCCCGGCGCTCGCAGCCGACCTGGACGCCTTCGACACCTCGGTCCTCTCCGAAATCTACGCTCGCAGAGGTACAACGCGCGCTCCTCTTTTTATTTATTTATTTATTTTTATTTTGGAGGTGTGCGCCTCTCAGTTCGCGCTCACACGCTCGTGTCGTGTGCGTGTCGTGTCGTGTGTCGTGTGTCGTGTGCGTGTTGTGCAGTTTCGGAGGAGCTTGATCCGATCAGGATCATCCAGTTCCTCAACCTGGTCAACCTGGAGAGCCGCATGCATTGCGCCGGCATCAACTGTCGCCACATGGGGCGCCTGCGGCAGCTCGTCCACAACAAGGCCATGCGCAGCTACATCCTCTGCGCGGTACACCCTTTTCTATATATTATATTATATTACATAATAATATAATCATTATCTAACCACCACTACCCACCACCACTGCGCGCAGGCCGTGAGTCGCGCGCTCAAGCACAAGCTGCGCAATAGAATGAGGCGAGCGGTGCGCGAGAAGCGACAGGGCGAGTACGTCTCTTCCACCACCTTGCTCTTTTTGTTCATATTATTATTATTATTTTAATGCTTTTTTTTTATTATTATTCTTTGGTTGGCGTCTGGACAGTCTCGCTTCGGAGGTCTCCTGCAAGCGTGTGGCAGCCCGCGTGTTGAACAAGATCCTCGGCCAACACCCCAAGGTGACCCGCACACGACACGACACGACACGACACGACACGCACGGCACGACTTACACTCGACTGTTTTCCTGTGCGCAGTCGGAGGACTTCTGGCGGCGGTCGGTGGTCAAGTCGCTGCGCAAGCGCTTCCCGTTCATCCTCTCGCCCGAGGAGCTCGCTGTATGTTTATTTTGTTTTTATTATTTATTAGGTCTGATTTCTTATTTCTTGTTATTTGTTATGTTTTTCTTGTGTGTGTCGTGTGCGTGTGTGTCGTGTGTGTGTCGTGTGTCGTGTGTGGTTGTTACGTGGTCTTATTCATTCCTCGTCAGCAGGAGACGTACGACATCAGGACCGACATTTGCCTGCGCGTCATTTTGGCCATTCTGATGACCCAGAACATGATGCGCCTCACGTCCGACGCCTCCAACGCCATCTTCCGGGTACGAAAACACCTCGGCTGTGCGTGTGCGTGTCGTGCATGTCGTGTGTGTCGTTTGTGTCGTGTGCGTGTGCGTGCGTTTCGCTTCACCACCACCGACGTCGTAGTCTGACGCGCAAGGCGCGATGTTCGTTGATGTAGGACCTCACCACGGTGAAGCTGGTCAGCAACGACATCGAGGTGATCTGGTCCAACATCAAATTCAGTCCCCTTGTACGTTCAGCCTCATCTTCATCTTCTTCTCTCTTCCTGCGTGCGCTCACATTCCGCACCTCACTGCTCTGCACCGCCACCAGATCAACATTCTCGACGCTGAGGTCTGTCGTCGCATGTCCACAGGTAGCGAGTATTTATATATATATTTATATTCTCTATTTGTATTCTCTATTTAATTTATTATTTATGTATTTCCTATTTAATCTAATGTGCTGTGATTGCGCCAATGGGAGGATGCTTAGAAGGGAAAAATCGGGGCCTCGGGCTGCGCCTGCTCGAGTCGGCTCGGGCCAAGCTCAAGACCGCCATCGAGGCCCTCCCCTCCTGCTCCTACTCGCACTGGAGCATCGGTACTCTCTCGCTCGCCTCAACCGAACTTGGCTCGTGTGTGTGCTATCATGCGTGTGTCGTGTGTCGTGTGTCGTGTGTACTCACGTTCGGTCGTTCGTTTGTTCCAGCGCGCGTGGAGAAGGAGATCGTGCGTCACCCCGAGTACGAACCCGTCGCGGAGCAGATCTTCAACAGCATCTACAAGCACCTGCGCCTCTCCCACGAGATGGAGAAGACCAAGGTACCACCCACCACCACTTCATCATCATCATCACCACCACCATCACCATCATCGTCATCTTCAACAACAGCAGCAACTACAACTAAGCATGGTTTGGTTGGGTTTAGGGTTTGCTGCTGACGTGGGCCCAAGTGCTGGAGATGCACGCCGAGCGGCTGGAGCAGGCCAACGGCGGCGTGCCCACGGCAAGGACGACGGAAATGCGGGCGGAGGCCGCCGCAAAGCGCGCCATGGCGGTCGAGGTGCCGCGCCACCACTGCGACAGCGGCGGCGAGGAGGACGAAGACTGCGCCGTGTGTTTGTAGGCAGGTATCATCATCGTATGCGAAAAGCAGTCTCTTCCCCAATGGCCTTGCCCCCCTCTTGTGTGTGTGTCGTGTGTGCGTGTCGCGTGTGCGTGCGATGGATACCACACGGCAGTCGGCTCAAGCGGTTTTGATGTTGTTTGGCGGTACAATGGCTGGCGCGCACCAAGCGCACCAGATGACAAGGCAACTGCCGCGCTCGTTCTTTTCCGTGAGTGCCTTCACTCGGCGAGCGAGTCGTAGAACTGGTGGAGGCGCTGGATGATGGCGGGGAAGGTGGGCCGGTCGTCCGGCTTCTGCTCCCAGCACTCCTTCATGAGCGACGCCAGCGGCTGTGGCGTGTCCGGCGGCACCTCCAAACGCAGCCCTGCGACCGATCGTCAGCACCTGTGTCACACCACACGGCACGACACACGGCACGCACGGCGCTGGACGTGTGTGGTGTGGTGTGGTGGGTGGGGGCACCTTGGGAGGCCACGCGGAGAGCGATTTGGAGAAGGGGCTCGTCTTCGTAGGGCTCCTTCCGGGTCAGGATCTCCCACATGAGGACGGCGAAGCTGTAGGCGTCGGTCTTTTCCGAGTACTTCTTCTCCTTGATCGACTCGGGGCTCATGTACTTGACTGGACCCAGCGACGACTTGGTCTTTGCATAGGCCGCTCCCTTTTCCTTCAGCCTAGGCGTGTGGCGTGTGGCGTGTGGCGTGTGGCGTGTGTCGTGTGTCGTGTGTCGCGTGTCGCGTGTCGCGTGGTGAGCGTCAAGGCTTCGAGAGCGTGAAAGCGGCGACGTGATCATTACCTGGCGAAGCCAAAGTCGCCCACGAACACCGAGAAGTCGGGGCCGATCATGATGTTCCGCGCGGCAATGTCTCTGTGGATCACCCCCTCGCAGTGCAGATGGTAGATGCCTGTGTCGTTGGTTCAGTCACAACTTCACACAACACACAACACAACACGCACGACACACGACACACAACGCAACACGCGGTGTGTGCGTACCGGCGGCGGCGTCGCGTATGATGCGCACGATGGTCTTGAGCGGAATGTCGGCGACGGCGTTCTTGCCGCGGAGCACGCTCTCGAGGCTGCCCTGGTCGCAGAACTCGGAGACCATGCAGAAGTTGGGCGCCTGGCTGCACGCCCCGATGAAGTTGACCACCATCGGGTGGTTCGAGAGCAGCTGCGCGAGGGCCGCCTCGCGCCTGAACTCCTCCACCGTCTCCATGTTGAACCAATCAAAGTCGTGCAGCTTCTTGATCGCCACAACCGACCCTCGCCACGTCCCCTAATGTGTGCGTGTGCGGTTTGTGTGTGTGTGTGTGTTGTGTGTGTGTGTTGTGGTGTGTGTGTGTGTGTGTGTTAGCGTTCATGTGTGTTTGTTGCATGAGTGCGGTTGTGTGTGCGCGCGTGTGCGTGTGCGACGGTGGTACCCTGTACACAGCACCGAAGGCGCCGGCGCCGATCTTTTCGACGAATCGCAGCTCGTCGTACTCGATCTCGCGGTAGTTGTACTTGGACTGGATGGCCTCGAGCAGCTTCGCATTCCGCTGTTTGAGGTCGTCGCCGTCGGCCGAGTCCTTCTTTTTCTTCGCCGCGTCGTAGTCAACGTAGGTCAACGGCTTCGAGTCGCCGCCGCCGTTGACCTTGGCGTAGGCGTAGGCCGGCGCCGAGCCTTTCCCCGCGGCTGCCGACGACGTGTCGACATAGGCCGACGAGCTGGCGGCCGAGGGGTCGGCGTACTGGATGCTCCCGTCGGACTTGGGTCCGTCGCCCGCTGTCGACACATACTGCACATTCCCGGTCACCTCCCGGCTTCGCACCAGCGGCGACGGAGCGGAACTCGATGAATGCACGGCGGCGTAGGTCGTCTGCGATGACGTCGGCGGCGAGGGCGATGACGTGGACTGGTGGTGGTGTGGGGCCGACGGAGTGGCCGCCGGCGCGCTGGCGGGTGCGGCGGCCGGGGAGCTCTGGAAGTGCACGTACTGGGCCGAGGAGGAGGGCGAAGAGGTGTTGGTGTTGACGTAGTTGACCGACTGCGAAGAAGGCGATGACGACGAGGAAGAGGCCGGCGGCTGGTTGCCCAGGTTCATCCGCCGCATGCGGATGGCTTCGATAGCGACCCTCTTTTGCTCGAGCCAGTCGTCCAGCGACCTCAGGTAGTTCTGATGATGATGTGAACACCACTTGAAAAGTGAACACAAACACCTAAAAAAACAAAAAAAAACATGTGGAGGGCATGGCCCGTACCACCGCCTCGTCGGAGGTGATGAGGTGCATGTTGCGCATCTTGTAGCCTTTCATCTCCTCCATCTTGGCCACAGCACCTGTTACCGCACACGCCGCACGCGACACACGACACGCGACATAGGGGTCAGCATGTTAAGAGGGGGGGGGGGCAAAACGTAGAACAAAAAAAAACAAAACAAAAACGTAGAGCATGTAGTGGTGGAAGTACCGTCGATGTTCTCGGTCGCGAGGTAGGACTCGGCTTCGGGTATCATGCCCTGGAGGAT